CTAAACACTATATAAGAAATGGCCATATTTATGCATTTATATAAAACTATGCATATATTAAAAAGAAATTATAAAAAAATGAACACACAAAAATGACTTAAATCAAATCTCGACTGAGTTGAGCGCTGAGTGGCCCTAATCTTGTGGCAGCGGGGGTGAGCCAGCAAGGGGGCCTGGCTGTCCTCCTGCAAGGACCAAGGACATTCACGGATGAAGTGACACTGTGAGGGCACCTGGGCCGTGTGCAGCCGTCTGGGAGAAGGAAAATGGCGTTGAGGGTCTCATTTGAATTTTGGGCAAAGTGCAAGAACAGGGGAGAGTATTAACAGGAGGACTGAGATTTGAGAACTCATGGAACAGGAGATCAGAAGTCATTGTGGGCAAAGGGTTAGAACAGGGATAACAGAAGAATCTGTGAACGCAGGCGAGTACAAAGCCGGGTGTAGGTGTTAGAAGGACCAAGGCCCATGTGGACAGGTAACCCGGAGGCCCACAGAAGAGCCTTGAGGCCTGCCTCACGAGTAGGATGTGGCTACAAGTCTCCGAGTTACGGGTGAAGAGAAAACTGGAAACCAAAGAATGACATCAAGTACAGGAAAGTTCTTATCAACCAACGTACACACTTTTAATTGCAAAAAGTAAAAATTTTTGTTACATAAAAGTTTAATTTACATACATTCTTTACAAGTTTGCAGGACATTAAGTTATGGTCAACATTCCACACTGAACACAGAGTAAGAGCTTAGACCATTTGGAGCACTCGTGGCGGGACAGGTGTCCCCCTTCCTCTGCTCACTGGGACCACCCAGGCCCACCACCCTGGTTCCCTGAAGACGAGCTGCAGCCGTCCTGGCTCCCGTCCCTGATGGCGGCGGGGAAGAGGCTGAGCACTGAGTTCCTGCTTCCCTTTGCCTCTCCAGTGTTCTCCCCCAGCCTAGGTGTCTGTTACTGACCTTTCCCCAGGAGGGAGGGGGAGGAAGAGACCACAGCCAGCACTTTTCTGAGGGTGAAACTATGGAAAGAAGTTTGGAGGGAAAGTCGCCTATGAGGCTGGGGCTTCTCTGGGAATGCCACAGGTCTGTCAGTTTCCGTCACCAATTTTCATAGGTTAAGTGCGAGTTTGTTCCTTGAAAGGCTGGAAGTGCTCTGAGGGGCTGAAGTTTGAAGGGTGGGACACTGCTGACCTCACCTACCCCACAGAGCTGTTGTTAGGAATAATGAGGACAATTATGCCTGGCACAAAGCAGATGTCCCGACACTCCAATTTCTGTCTGAAACTCTAAATTGGTTTCCCTCCTCAGCACAGGTGCTTGCAGCTGTGGCTCACTCTTGGATTGATATGGGCTGACTGACAGATTTCAGCTGCATGAAGACAGGAGGAATGGCCTGTGGGCAGCCCCACCATGTCTGGACAGTTCCAGGCCTCCACTTGCAGTTAACATTTCTTCTCTCTACTATTCTGAAGAGGGCTGGACATTTCACAGTCTCCAGAGAGGGAGAAATGACAGATTTATAGCTCTAATGCTTAAATTACGCAGGACAGGGAAACCAGACACTAGAGGACCTGGACCATAGACGAGCTGGCTGGAAGGTTTCTCACCAAGGCCAGCACTTAAAGCCACGTTGCGCCCAGTGGGTGGACTCGGATGTGGTGCACAAGGGAGACCGCCCGTCCATCTTCTCTGAGATGCTTTTGCAGAAGAAGCTGCTGGAGATATGGGGAGGCTGATGGCGACACAGCACGTTCCCAGAGCCTCCCATTTTTCATTTGTGACAGGGCTCTCTCCATAAGCGCCTGACCTTCATAGCCTCCTGGCTCAGATATGCGTCTGCTCTGGACCCAATATATGCAGGTCCAAACGTGGAGAGGCTCTCAAACCAAAATGCTATTTTAAAGCACATCTCTGGCACTCCCGTCCTTCAACCAATTTTAGTGGGTGAAAAAGTTTAAAAATTAAAGTTAATGAGTGTGGAACTTGTAACTCAGGAGAGTTTTTCTTCCATCGATAGGAGAACTCAGAAGCCTAAGAGATTCCTGTTTAATAATTGATTCTCAAAAGGTAGACAAGAGTGTCTTTCTCCTTGCAACCAGACTTCACTTTCCCCTACGACCTGGCCTTCTGCTGGACAAGGATTAGATGAGAAGCAAACATCTGCTTTGAGGTTTTGAATTTTCACTATGGAAGGCACTGGTTAATGAGCAAAATATCATCTAGATTGTATTAAAATGCTTGAGGCCATCACCTGCAGCTGAGGAACTATCTTGTTTTAAAATAATTGTTCCTACGCTGAGGTGTATGCTGGGTTTTGGAAGAAGGGAATAGAAAACCGAGAACTCAAAAACAAGTGATGTAAACTCCAAGGGGACCCACAACCGGAATTGGGCAGAGTCCTTCTTCTGGTCACACATCTGGAAACTTGTGGTGATGGGAAGATGGCTGGACATGGTTGTGTTCCAGCCACATTCACTCTTAAAAGAGCTTTCAGATGGGGAGGGAAAAAGTGAAAGGCTTTTTACAAAAGTCATCTGTTAGATTCTCTCCATTTCTGGCTAAAACAGTTTTGAAAACAAACCCTGAAGAGTTCCCGGCTTGCTGACCCTGCCCCTAGGTTCTCCTACCTGGCTGGGCACACCTGAGTCAATTAAACCCACAGCTTCATTCCTGGGCACCATACTTGCTGTAGCAGGAAAATAATGTGGAACCATTATTGGTGGAACCAGCCATCTACAGGACAGTCCTCAGCCCCAGGACTGTCCTGTTTCTTTACTTGTAAAATGAGGATCTAATACCTGCTTTACAGGACTGACAAAAGATCAGAGATCATGTATATCGAGACACTTTTTCTTAAAATTAATTATTTTTTTGGTTGTGTTGGGTCTTCGTTGCTGCGCGCGGGCTGTCTCTAGTTGTAGCGAGCAGGGGCTACTTTTCTCTGTGGTGCATGGGCTTCTCACTGCGGTGGCTTCTCCTTGTTGCGGAGCACGGGCTATAGGCGCGCAGGCTCAGTAGTTGTGGCGCACGGGCTCAGTAGTTGTGGTGCATGGGCTTAGTTGCTCTGCGGCATGTGGAATCTTCCCAGACCAGGGCTTGAACCCATGTCCCCTGCATTGGCAGGTGGATTCTAAACCACTGTGCCACCAGGGAAGCCCCTTGAGACACTCAAGCTGGAATGGACTGGACAAATGTTACTATTTCTTTCTCTCAGAAAATGACCCCAAATTTGTCCACTTCATAGACGTTTTGTATTTTGCCGAAGAGGCAGATTCTGTTTTCATAAACCAGTTATTTCACTCTCTCCTTTCCTTGAAAAATTGAGAGTGGCGAGCGGGTAAGTTCTACCTCTCTTCATAAGCCAGAACAGGTGTAGAGTCTGTTCAACACCTGACTCCTGGGGACCTCAGGACACCTGGATGTAATACTTCAAACTGGTGCCAAAGCAGCCTTTCTCCCCTGAGAGCTGAATTCTGGGGACATGAGCCTCTGCTCTGGGAACTGACAAGAAAGGGAACCTAACCCATGCGCGGAGGTCACCGCCATGTGACCTCTTACTAAACAACTCAAATTCACGAGAGCAAGTCCCTCTGTTTAAAGCAAGCTCTGCGGTTTTGCTCTTACTGTGGTGGTAGAGATGGGGAGTTATGTGGTCCCACCAGCCCCCCGACCCTGTTTCCTCATCTTTATGACCTTTTTCCCACACCGGGAAACGTGGAGGGACTTTTGCTGCTTCAACGGAGGAGCTGAGAGCTAGGTGAGCAGGGGAGATCCTGCGGCACCCTCACACAAAGACTTGGATAACTAGAAAGGAATTGGCTGGCAACCCATTGATCATTGACTGGTCAGTGGTAGATTCTGCTTTTCAGAATTACCTTGAGAAAAAGGTGAATTACTTCTCAGTATCCAGTAATTAAAAGTGGAAAACCTCTTTGGAGAACTTCTCCCCTAACATAAATCTATATTCAATTCTGAACTGGACAGATTTTTAAATGATTTTAAAAAGTCTCTACTTATCTGCTGCCATACCATTCTTTGTTGAACTGTAGACAGCTCAGGGGACCTCCCAGAGGATGACTCAGAACACCAACACATACAACGGTTTTTCAGTTTTGAGCTGAGGAAGGTATTTTATGAACATTTAAGGTGTAAAGGGCTGGAGTAAAATGGGGAAGGAACACAGGGTAATTCATAAAAACAGAAATTTCCATCAACAAAACAGTTGCTTTGCTCCTAAGGAACCCTGTCTTTTGTTAACCCAGAGGACCTAATTTAAGAAAAACGCTGAGAGGCCTCTAAAGAACTTGTTTACGTATAAACCTTCCCCTTATGCAGTAGGGGTAAGGACACTGAAAAGGCTCGAAAAACTTGCACAAAGCTGGCCTCCAAATGATCTCTCTGATCTAAAACCTCTTAAATTGTAACTGCTTAGCAGCATGACTTTCATATGGACACAAAGTTTTGTTTTTCCTGTATCAATTCACACAAGGCCTGATTCTTTTAAGGAAAAATTCCCTCAGGTACAATTCATCCTAGTTTCACTCAAGACCGTGGAGGAGGCTCTGAGCTTTTCCACCCTGGACTCTGCGAACCCTCCACGTCCTTTACAAGCCCACACACAGGCCACTCAAGCACCTGACGATCCTCACTGCTGCTTGTGAGATGTGTAGAGAAAGAGGGCCTGGGGACAAGGTGCAGGGGTGCCTGCAAGGATGAAGAAGACCCCATAAGGAGTCACACCCACCCTCTTCCCTCACCACTGTCTGCCTCTGGTCTGTAACTCGACACAGACACCTCCAGTATCTGTTTGATTTCTGCAGTTCAGAACCAGGGCTGCAGTGTGGTTTGCTTTTTCTTCAACTTGGCAATGGCATTTTCAGAAGCCAGATTTTTAAGAGTCGATAAAGGAATAATAAAGGGAAAAAGGAAACAAGAAAAGAGTGTCCTTCTTTACACACTTAAGACACACTAAAAGCACTTGGGGAAAACAATGAGCATAGTGAATCATCCAATCAAAAGAACATGATTTTATAATTTCACAAAAAATAAAAACACCTCACCTTGGCTCCCAGTACAGAGAGAGAAATCATTTCAAGACAGAGGGTCACACAGTCGTACGCCCAGCTGGCCAAGACTCTGGGTCTGGAGTTCCTTCCCCAACCACATTACAACATCAGCTTGACACGTCTGTAAAACATCTTTCCTGCAGAAAGTTGGACCCTAAAGATCAAACCCGGGGAGGCACCCTCTCCCCCTCCGAAGACATTTGGTAAAAGCAACAGAGCTGACAAGAGCAGTGCTGCCTCAGCAGTAAAGGGCGCTGGCCCATCCAAGGGAGGGGGACCAGGAGCCCAACTTCTGAGAAGCCATCCAGATACGCAAGGGAGAAGCGGAGGGAGGGGAGAGGCATAAGAACTGATAGAATGGAGACAAGAATTACCATTTCAATTACAATCAGACTCTGACCTGGCATCGCTGATACTCCAAGAGCCATGGACACTGGGAAAGAAGTACACTTCTTGAGTGCAGTTTGAGGTTATTTGATCCTTTTTCACCGGTTCTAGATTCCATTCTGCTTGGGAAACTGCAATGACTTCTTTAATCATCCATGGCTTTCCAAAAAAAGTACAGGGTGGTGTGACCAGGAAGAGAGGACAGGCAGGCCCACCTGGTAGAGGATGGCTCTAAAGTCAGGACCTGGTGACTGCCCTCTCGTGGCCGGGGAGCCAGCAGAGGGGATCATGTCATGCAAGTGAGGGAAGGTATCAACCGTGCTCCCTGCCTGAAGGGCAGCCTCAAGGCTTTGGTGCCAAAAGGCCTGGAAGAGGCCAGTCTCTCACAGATGGGTATTGGCAAGGTCCTGGCCAAGCAGCTGGGCTGGAAGAGTTGGGAGGGCTGGGCTCTGGCCTTTGCTTCCAGCACACAACTGGCTCACACACGCATGCACAGGGCAGGCAACTAAGCAACCAACCCCTGGAAAGTGGTTTCATCGTTTTTTGTTTTTATTTTCCCCCTTTCGATCCGGTCTTCAGCTCTCAAACCTGTTCCTTTAGTTCTGTTTCCTACAGTTCTGAGAGGGTGGTTCCATCACAAATGACCAAAGGCTGGACCCCTCTGGCTATAATGTAGACCTTCCAGTGGGTGGCGCCAGCATAGCCTTGAAGGGAGACACGAACAAGGAAAGCATGTGAATGTCAGGCCTACCCGCGGGCACGAGCAAGGCAGGTCCACCAGAGCTGCCCTCAGATTCACCTACAGACTCAGAGGCAATGCTTGCTCTGGAGGTCTTTTAGCTCTTCCTGGCATAAGTATCCCCAGTTATTATCAGTCCTCTCTGTAACCTGACAGCCAATGGGAGCCACTATGAACCAAAGTGCTTCATCACCAGCCCTCACCTGGGTAATTGTGAATCACCATTCAGCAGTTTTACAAAAGCAGGATGCTCTAGATAAGGCTGATATGGGACATCAATTCTCAGGTCTCATTTTTTCCAGCAAGAAGACAGAACGGGTTCTGAGGGGCGCCAGGACCCCCTACCCAATTCTCCTGAGGTTATACATAATATGGTCTCATTACAGAATTTCCAGATTAACCCAAACCAGTATTTCCTAAATTGTATTCTGCAGACAGTAGCATCCCATAAAATAGTCCAAGGAAAAAGGGTTCCCTGGTCAAGTAAGTTTGAAAAACACTGGATTTCTCCAAGGCTTCTCAGAGCCTTTTGTACACTAATGTATACTATGTTTCAACAAGACAGGCATTTCCCAAAGTCAATGACTCAAGAGCCCTATTTGCCAAAGGTCTTTCCAAGGGGCTCCTATTTGCCCCCTAGGGTCATGAGTGATCCGAAGAATCGATTAGGAAACACTGACCTATATCATTTGAGCAATACGAATAGGCTAGGAAGGTAAAGTTACACAATTTTAACACTTCAATAACTTCCTGATGGAAACATTTCTAGAGAATGATATATACCACCCATCTTTGAACTGACAGCACTGAACGGGATGTGCCCTCTACTTGGTGGCTCCAGAAAGGTTACTACGAGCCGTGACTGTACCATCATGGCAGGTGTGTGGGCTCACCAGCATCAACCTCTGATGCCTGACTGACACCCACGTCATTCTTGAAAACGCCGCCCGTCACAGGTTTTCTGGTGATCCCCTTCCCCTCCGCTTTCACAGGATAATGCTTATTTTGTCAAAAAACACAGAACCTGCTTGTCACAGTGCTATTCTTAAGGGTCTCTTAGGTGCATGAGCTGCCACCTGTCCTACAGCCACTAAATTAGTCCCCTCCACTGTCAGGGTCTGCTTTCTTGCCCTCATTTTTCACTGTGGCAGCTGCGGCCACTGCTTCTATTTCTGCCGCTGCTTCAAGTGTCCACTGTCCTCCTCCGCCCTCTCCACCTCCACTCTTCTCCTGACTTGCCCGCTTCCCCTTGCTCTGGTCGGTCTCCATTAGTTCTCGACGTTCCTGTCATGTGCTGGCCTTCATGGACGCTGCCGACCACAGGGCTCCTTCCCCTCTGGTCAGCAGTCTGCCGGTCACAGCACAACAAGCATCAGGCTCTGGATTTTAAGCTGTTCTGGACCAGCCGCAGCAGGCTTTGTGGCGCAAAGCTTCTTGGATCACTGCCACTCACCATCTTTTTTTCTTTTTCCCTAATTCTATAATTGGCATTTTGGATGCTTGTGGGAGCCGAAAACATGGAATTTGGATAACTAAAGTGTTTCTGTAGTTGTCTGAACTGTCAGGCGTTTGTAGAACATAAGGCAGAAACTTTTTCAAGCACAACTACACACTGCAAACCCAGAATGCCATACAGACTTGTGCAGCGTCACTCCACTAAAGGAAGATGGTTTTGGAATAATTTCCACATAAGAATCCTCTTTTCCGCAGTAAGTCTCAAGGGCCAGACCAGCTGTGCTCCATTATCGGTTAATGCTTAATTTGTGCATTATTTTTATTTTTTCATTTTTAAATGGAAATAAAAGTTACGTAACTTGGTTGGGTTAAAGTTTGGCAGTTCGCAGTCTGCATCCGACCTCCAAATGAGATGAGAGGTTTCTAGGGATTGGGATCTTCCGAATAGATAAAATTAAAAGAAATCAACTGGAAAACCAGTCTGGGCTCTGCCAGGAACTCCAGGGCTCCCCTAGGTTTTGTGAGGCAAGAAAAACAAGGAGGATGATGGTGATGCTTGCTGATTTATGTGCTTCTGCCAAGGAAATTCCACTGTCAAACTGACAGCTACTGACAGCAGTTGATTCAAGGCTGTTTCTTTGGAACGGATTTTTAGAATATCAGGTACAGAACAAGTCACATTGGGAAATCATGGAGCCAAGGGTGAGTGATGACTGTGAGGCTGTGACCTGGCTGTGGGACACACACGGAGGGTAGTATTTCCTTGGGTGGCTGCTGCCCTTACATACTGCCTGCATCATTTTATTAGCAAAATAGGCACAGAAAGGCTTTCCTCAAATCTGAACTGTACCTCCTCTGGCCTGACTCAGTGAAAGGAGTCACTTAACACTGATGCTTTGCCTAACTGATGGTGGGGCCTTGAGGTGGTCACCTCTCCTCTCTGGATCTCAATCTTCTTATCCGTAAAATAAAGGACCACTCTAAATACTCCCCATAATAATTCTTTCTAAATTGAAATCTCTAAAGCCAATGGAGGGAATTCCCTGGCAGTCCAGTGGTTAGGACTCCATGCTCTCACTGCTGAGGAACTGGGTTCGATCCCTGGTCGGGGAACTAAAATGCCACAAGCCACGTGGTGTGGCCAAAAAAATAAATAAATAAAGCCAATGGACACATACATTCTAAATGTGCATACAAGACATTTCTCTCTGCTACATTTTCTCATTACTTCTCATTACATCTAAGCATAAATATTGACCTTTTTAATAAAAGAAGGCTATTTTTGACTCTACTTAATGAATCTTTGTGAAGGCAATATTTAATTTTTAGAATGTTTTTTGAGTTAAAAAGTAAAAAGACCCTCCAGTGACCTTGCCCGCCGGAGGCTCCACCTACCAATATCCCCTGGCTCTAGTGGCATCGCCATGGACTGGCAATGTCTTCGGCACTGGAAGGGAGGGATGAGTTGCAACATGGCCTCGCCGCTGCCAATGGTAAACAGGTCATGCATCCTATGCATCTGGAGGAAAAGACATGGGGGAAGAAAAGGAAGGAAAGGAAAACAAAATAAAACCCCGGAGCATGGGACAGTAATACACAAAAACTCTTACACATATGGCTCTGAGCTTCCTCGCAGCCTAAGCAAAGGGGAAAACAGTACCAAGAACACAATTCACAGTTATGTCCAAAAGACAAAAACAAACTAGTTTCTCCTAAGTATGGCATCTCCTGGTACTGAGACCAGGGTAAGATTTCTTCTATGGTTTTTCCTAAAGAGACGTCGTGTAGTTTTGTGGGCACCATCCTCAATGACAGCCCTGTAGCAGAAACGGCACGAGCTTCATAATTCACAACTATTTCTAGCCACAGTTTCAAAGTAGGTCAAAGGCAAAGTACCTAATTGTATTTTAACAAAAGTCTAGCAGAGGCCAACATGTGGTGATCTAAATAGGCAATCTTCTGAGGGTCTGGTTTGACCCAGATAGATAGTTTGCATATCCTTCGGACAATGGTCCATGGAACATTATCACTTACTGTTAGGCTTTTGACAGCAGCAAGTTCAAGTTTATACTTTTTGGCAAGACTCAAGTGAGCAGATACATGTTGCTACTGATTAAAAACTAATGACAGTAAGATCAGCCTCTGATTTTGAAAGCTAAGGAGATAACAGGATATACACCTACACAGGTAACTACTGCACTGCTGAGGGCATAATACTGCTACCAACAGGCATTAAGTGCAACCTGCTGTGTACCAGGTAGAGCTGTGAACCCTGGGGTTGGGGAGGGGCAGGGAGTAGAGATAAAGGGAGAGGTTGGTCTTGCTCAGGCTTCTCTTCCTGTCTAGATGGTGAGAGAAAACCCTAGCGTCTCCCGTTCCCTCCCCTCTTCCCCCTCCTCCCAGCCCCTGCCCTCTAGGGAAGCTCTTTATATGCCCTTATAAAGCAGGGGTAAGAAGTCTGACTCCCTGGGCCACATCCTGGTTTTTCCTTCACCGCTTGGGTCCTCTAGAGCCTTGGGATGTGGCCCTATCTTCTCCTGCTTCCCAACCCTGGTCTCTTGGTTGCTCCCACAGGCCCTGGCCATGACTCTGTGTCCATGGAAACGCTAGCGCCATTTCAACTGCTGCTATAGTGACAGAAGGAGGACTAGTGTCTTGAGCTGGCCTGTGACTAACTGGTAGTAACACTGGCAGAAGCCCTGACATATGCAGTCTTGAAAAAATCCCAGAAGACAAAAATAAGCGGATGTATCTCTGTTTCATATAGGCCTGAGAGGGGGTGGGACCATGTTCCTCCACATTCAGGATGAGGAGGAACTGACAACGGGATGGAGTGGGCCAGCCCTAGGCAACACCGTGGGGTGGGTAAAGTGGGCCTTGGAACCCCTCACCTCTTCCCCCAGGGCCTCTCAACAATCAGCCCCCACTGCTTATCTTCTATCCCAAGGCTGCCTCTTGGATTCTGGGCCCACAGACATGTGACTTTACCAGGGTCCAGGGCACAGGGATGTGGACCAAGGGCGGAGTAACAAGGCTGTGGAGGAAGGACAGCCTGGGCCAGGGTGGGGAACAGATGCTCTAAGAAATCAGACTCTCAGGATTTTTGCCTATTTGGGCCACTCCCCTTCCCAAAACATCCTTGAGAACTGCAACAAGATGACTCTGACAGTCTGTGTAACTGTGTATTTAACCCTTTGGCTGGGCTCCTTGGTGTCCCTGTTAAGCAGACTGGTGAAATTAACTTAAGGCTCAAGTGGGAAAACCCAAGATAAAGATCGAGGCCCTCACCCAGAATTATATCATAATTATGAAGATGAAATCATACTATGGCCCCGAGTTCTAGCCGAAAACAGCAGGATAAACTTCTTTAAAATCTGAGGCAACAGCCCAGCACCTCCACCCTACAGCTGGCAGACAGAAGTTCTTACTTCTAGATGGAATGATTGTTTTTAAAGGCTTTGAAATTCCTTTAACACGATTCAGCAAATTGGAGCCAAACAATAGTGTCAGGAGGTTAAAGACACAACCCAGAGTGGGTAGGGGTCACAGTTCAGCAAATTTAATTTTTTAATAAAGGAAAACTCATCCTTTTAATTATTCCAAACCAATCCAGGCTCAAAAACCTTCTTCAGGAATGAGACTCAAAAAAAGAGCAATTCAGAGAAAAGTAAACAGACACAAACACAGAACAGCTATGCCCAGTCCGCTGGCCCCAGAGACGGTAAATGTGGGCTCTGGGTACTTGGCCACGGACTGAGGTGAGAACCACTGCCACACACACTGGGCTGCCTGCCTCAGGCACAGGCTTGTCAGCCCTTTTGTTCCCAAACCTCTCCATGCTCCCAAGCTTTTTGCTTTCCCGGTTCTCTATCTGAAGTTTCTCATTTGTTTTTTTCTGGGGAAAGCCAACCTGGGAGTGGAGGGTGAGGAGAGACCTCTTATTAACTTGCTGTGTCCTTGGGCAAATGACAATCTCTCTGGGGCTCAGTTTCCTTCTCTATAAAATGAGTAAGCTGGACTATTCATTTACATACTATTCATTCATAGTCTGCCTGCTTTCTACTTGGAGGTAGGGAAGTCAGACTAACGGGATGCTCAGGACCCTTCAGTTTTTAGGATTTTACTTCCTTTAATATAGAAAAGTAACTTGCCCCCAGGTGTTAAGGGCAGGAAATACATCTGCAAGGTAACTAGACTTTCTGTAAGTGTGTCTTCAGTAAAAAAAGTCAGGTCTGTTGGCAAGCAGGAGGAGGAGAGAACTTTAGATTATGTGGCTGACCCCTCAATTCAACCCCTAAGTTGACACGCAGGGAAGGCTTTATGACATCAGCCCAGGTACCAAATGAGAAAAATTCTAGAGCCAAGTCCTCTCAAAATTTCCTACCTTACTCCCCACAGTAGGTTCTGGTTGAAGAAGGAAGCACTTTTTCAAGGAGGCTTCTTTTGGAAACGGCAGGTAGGTGAACACAGGAAAAAGCTCACGTAAAAGGTGTGATCTGTTCAGAGGTCTTCTCCTGTAAAATGTGTAAAAGAGAAAAATGTAGTTAAACTGGGCAAGCCAGCCTAACTCCGTGACTAACAGAGAGCTCGGCAAGGGTGGGAAAACTGTGGGCGGTGGGTGAAGAGGGAAAAATGTCAGGACAATATCTGAAGTATTAGGTCCATGAAGAACAGTCATGCCAAATCAATTAATAGTAAAATGTACACACACACACACACTCTACTGCCATGATTTGTCTGTGTGGGTGGGGTGTTTATAAAATCCAGCTAAAACAACATATAGAGGGAGAAAAGAAACACTCCATTCATCCTCTTGGCAAAAAGACTGAAGTAACAGCAGACAGGGCAAGATAGAAGAAGGGAGGAGGAGGAAGCAAAAATCGTGAACCTTCTGAGGTGGAGCAGCATGAAGGGGGAAGCCTGTATCAGCTTGTAACACTGAGTATTTGATCATGTAAATAAACGACAAATTTAAAGAAAGGCAGAAGCACAGAAATCATCCGACAAAATGCCTGAAAAAGCAGTTTTAATTCTCTTTGGAATGGTTCTAGAAGTAAACTGGCCTTCCTTTTCTTCTAGAAAACAACTTTCACCTGAAGAAACAGACCATGTCTTCTATAGGACACAGCAAGGAACAAGGAGATAGACCTGGGTTTCAATTCTGGCTGGGTGACCTTAAGCAAGGTACTTAACCTGATTCCCACTTTTCTGATCTGAAAAATGACAGTGATAATTCCTACTTCCCAGAGCTATTATGAGCATCACCAACGAGTAACAGATACTCAGTACCAAGGCACACAGCCTGGCTGCCAAGAAATAACTTTCCCTTTTATTCTTTGTGCTCTCTCTGCAGTCCTCAATGCTCAGGGCCCACTCAGCATGAACACAAATGCTAAACACATACTTAGAAGTAAATTATGAGTCTATCAGGCAATCTCGGTGTCCACCACAGTGGTGCCCCTCTTGACACACCTCTTTGGACTCACCCACTTTCTCTCATCAAGTTTGCAACAGTGCACTCCTGAGTATCATTTGACTTGAAGAGTGTATTGTAAAGTGCTTGCACAGTGCTGGGCATAGCAGCGTCTTGGCAGTAATTATCCATAGTACGGTTCTGACATTTGGTCTGCCCCCTCTCTGCACACATGCACGCTGAGCGGCCCTTTCCACACTCACCATGGGTAAGGAAACGGGAACCACCGTTCAGGAAAGCAGCGCCACCACTTGGTGAAAAACCCTTCGGTGAAGCCTTCTGTAACCTCAGGGTACTGGCACAAAAAACGCTGAAGCCCCTCAGATGACAGGGGTTGTCCGGTCTTGGCAAGGCAGAAAACAAAAGTGCAACAAGACAACATGGAATTACTAATCACGAATGTCACAGCCTAGCCATGAAATGGGTAATCGATCAGTGGGAGAATCTGCCTTCTTGCTCACCTTGATCACCAGAGGATGGAGTCTCTCAAATTTCCTTGGGGTGTCTTCCAGGAGCATCACCTTGAGGGGTAATTTCTGGGCACAGCCAGTGCAGTTGGCAGGGATGGGGTCCGACTCATTCTGCTCACACTCATTGGTCCACCAGGGGTCAAAGTCTGAGAGAGGAAGGGATATGGAGAAAACAGATAGAGCTGGTAAATCTAGTCGCCACAGCAATGGAAGCAGAAAGACATAAGAATAATTTTAAAACCTAACAGTGATAAGCGCATGTGACCTCTGAAAAGGTACATATCAAATACATTAACCCCAGAGAAGGGAATAGAGAGAGGGCTTAGGGGCCAGAGGTGGAAAGGAGAGGTACTTTTCTCTGTATACTCTTCTAGGCTTTGTGGAAAATATTTTTTAACACATACAAGTATCTCCTAAGTCAAATCAACAACTGAAGTCGAACAGTTTGAGGAGCTATATTCAGAGACATGGGGTTGGAGATGCAGTTCTTCCACCATTTTCAAACCTGCAACCCATACGTCTGACCCGGCTACAGCACATGGGGGAGGGGCAGGCAGGAAGGGTGGTCCCATCGTCAGTGATGAGCCCCTCTGCATGCATGTCTTCTCTGACACCCTAGGCCCTGGGTTCACAAGTACAAGTGGAGGCCAGGACGGCTCTGGGAAGGAAAACTGAGAAAAGGGCACAGACAGTAGGGATGGAAAGGAGAGACAGGACTTTTCAGGGGCCCATCTTTGGAGTGGAGTGAACTGCATCTGCCCGTTAAGCACTCTGTCCGAGCTCAGGGTGGGTAGGGGCTACTAATCATGGTTTCTAGCCCCAAGGACTGCAGGTTGGTCAGAACTAGAAGAATGTCCCACCCAGACCCTGATGTGACAGCTTGCTGGCTCCCCACACCTTTCTCTGGTCCTTCTGTGAGGGGTTGGCTCTGTTTCTATGCAGCTCTTCTCAGTTTCTCTGTGTTCCTTCCCTCTGAGACTATTCTGTTCATATTATTATTACATTATTTCTTGTTTGCTTTCTGTTCCGTTCTGGGTTTCACCTCTGTTCTCTGAGATAGATGTTTCTTTCCTTTTTTTTTTTAAGATGAATTTTTCCCCAATATTTTATTATGAAAGATTTCCAGAATACAGTAAAGTTGAAAGAATTTTGCAGTAGATATCAGTATATCCACTACCTAGGTTCTACCATTAACATTTTACTATGCTAGTTTTATCATATATCTATCACTGCTACTTTATTGCTTACAGAAGGGATTTAGAGAGACAAGTAGTAGCTTTCTAACCAACAACTTCCTGTTCTAAGTCATACATAAAAGTTAAAGTATAGTAGACAGTACTGTATTGGTCAGAAAGAGTTGTAACTGTTCACATGTGTTTCAAACAAGTGGGGCTTTTCAAATACCTCAACTAACAAATCACCATCTCCCTTTAGTTCATTTAAATGTTCATATTTTTACTCATTTGATTAGTAGTAAAAGAACTGAGGTATTTAATGTTAAATTGCTTTATATTAAATCATTACATATAATTGAGTTTGTGATTGACTTTATTCACAACTAATCCTAAGGGACCAGATACAACGTAACCATATAGCACTTTAATTTTAGTATTTGAAGCATACATGCTAGGAGGCTAATGTAACATAGCAGGTCTTTTGAGTGGCCATTGTTGACTGCCCAGAATCCCAACATCTCAGTTTTCTTGAATCTGCTATAGTTAATAGAGAACATTTCATGTAAAAAAAATATGCTAGAGAATTGAGATAGATGTTTCTGATAAACTCTAATTTGAATCCAAAATGTTTCACCAGATGGTTTCTGATTAAAACCCAATGGAAACCCAATCAGGAGAGAGCCTACAACAAAAGACGACAGACAACCAAATGTGGCCGAAACCAAGTCAGCTCTTTAAACCAATAAACACATGTGGAAACCGACTCTTAACCACAAAACATTTTCTGTAGTCAGCAGAAGGCAGCAGTCATGCAGTATAAGAAATCCTCATCGGGGGGAGGGCTGTGTTTGTTCTCAGCACGTCTCCTGAGCATCCTCCATCTCCTGCAGACAGAACCTGTGTTTCCCTGAGGCAGCTGCCACCCACTCTTCTCATCCAGGGGACTGCGCACACCTTGGCACACACAGTGTTCACCATGAGCCTCCAGGGGCAGCAGAAAACCCTTTCATGGAACTTGTTTCAGTGGCACACTGAGGCTGCAGTATGCTTTTTTTTTCCAGTGGCATACTCAGGCTGCAATTAAACTTTTTTTTTTCCCTTCTGGAATATTTTCAAATGTTCCTTATTAGAGGTCAAATATGATGAATTCTTGCCAAAATACAAGAACTCTGGGTAATGGACATACAACGAGGCATAAATAATCGTAACAACATGTTACAATTATACAGCATTTCCATTTCCAAAGTACTTGTGAGGGAGGCGGTAGGAAGCGGAAAGAAAACTAACGTGCTCAGCGCCAAGCCCCATACGAGTCATTTCTGCAGGTAATATATCGTTTACTCTTTACCACATAATTACTGAGGAGGCACTGCTATTCTCATTTTACAGATGAGCAGACTGAGACTGAGAGGCAAGAGGAATTACCGAGGCACCTGGGTGCAGTGGGAAGAGCACAGGGGATGCGGTGGGGCGGGGATAAGAGGACAGAGGCTGCTGAGGAAGACTGTGATGAGGACTTCTAGGGCTTCCTTCTAGGAAGGTTATTCTGGATTGTGACTAGGGTGTCCTGGAAGAGAGAGGCTGGGAAGAGGAAGACCCGGTTGTACTTTGTTTTTGTCCTTTTTTGGGGGAGGGAGGGGTTGTACTGTGATGAGAGGTGAAATACGAGAGTCTTTTTTCTTTAAAAAAAAAATTTTTTTTTGGCCGCAATGTGCAGCATGTGGGATCTTAGTTCCCCAACCAGGGATTGAACCCACACGCCCCTGCACTGGAAGCACGGAGTCTTAACCACTGGACTGCCAGGGAAGTCCCTATAACGAGAGTCTTAACTGAGGTAGTGGGCTTGGGAAGAAAGGGGTGATTCCGGAGGCAGTGATAACACAATCTATGGCTCTAAGTAGCACTATGGAGAACGTCTGTGCAGGCTGAGATGGCACAAGAGCTCCTCATCTAAGGGAGACACTGGAGAGCTGCATATATTTATCATCACATTTTTCTGTAGTAATGTGTCATATTCCAAATGAATCAATTAATTATGACAATCTTCCCAGGAGATAAGAGTAAAGTGTCAGGAGAAATTCTTCTAATTTATACAGAGGTGCTTCATGGGCTATAGTAGCAGGCAGTTCTGAACCTAAGGGTATCAAGAGATTATTTTAACTGTAACTTATTTTAGTTTTATTCTGAGCTTTAGATATTCTTGGGATTAACAGGTAGAGATATGTGAAAAGCAGGTGGAGGAAGAAAACCCAAAGAAAGTCAAGAAAGGAAAAGAAAACAATAACAGATAATTTAACAAGGCGGCAGAACACAAGATGAGATCTGTAGACATGTAAACATCAATAGTGTTCTTACAGTGCGGACCATAATCATTTAAAAATGGAAATGGAAAATGATCTCATTGATAAAGACTGGCAATAAATTTAACAAGAAAGGTAAAACTAGAAAATTTTACTGAAGGATATAAAATAAGACCTAAATAAACATATCATACCATGATCCTCGATGGGAAGACTAAATGTCATAAAGATGTCAAGTCTACTCAAAAAATACATATATGAACCTTAATACAACTTGGATAGAATCCCATCAGAGTCTCTTACTGGTGAAGGTGCAGATGGGGTGGGGTTGTGACCACGGCATTCTAAAGTTCATCTAGAAGAGAAAATGTGTGAGAATGGCAACAGGCAACAACCCGCCCCCTGACAAATTAACTCTGGGAAATACTTAAGTGCCAGAAGGCATGCTGGGGTAATACAAATGAATCACGAAGTATGGTCACGGCTTAAAATCTACAGCGGATACTCCCCTCAGGGCACAGATAGAGTCAGAGACTATATTAAGAGCCTCATGTGACAGACACTGGGCAGACTGTGGACCTGAGGACCCTCACCTCTGACTGCTCATGGGTCACTGGAGAGCTCGAGCCTCTCTTTGTGCCACACATGAGGAGAGCAGGACTAGAGGGAAAGGGCATTGCTTTGCTCTCTCTGTGTAGATAATATGAACAAGTAATTCACGAAAAATAAACACAAATGGCCTAAAAGAAACACATGAAAAGACATCCAACTCCACTAAAAGGTGACTTAAAGTGAGATACCACTTTTCAGTTTCTTGACTGGCAAAACAACGGCAATATCCAGTGTTGATGATCTACATATGCTGTTAATAGAAGTTACACATCAGTGTAAGTTTACGTAGATAATTTGTTAGTATTTATTAAAATGTAAAATGTGAACGATCTTTGACCCAGCTATTCTACTTCCGAGAATCTATCTTACAGAAATAATAGTATATGTATATAAAAGTGTGTGTATATGAATGTCCCTAGTCTTTTTTTTTATAATAGTAAAAAATCTAGAAACTGTTCAATTATGGAATACTCACAGAATGGAATAATATAAAATCTTGAAAAATGTGTATACTGGGTTGAATAGCGTCCCCCTTAAAATTGAAGTCCTTCTGGAACCTCAGAAGATGACCATATTTGAAAATAGGGTCCTTGCAGATGTAATTAAACATGAGGTGATACTGAAGTAGGGTTGGTCCTAAATTCAATCTAAATGGTGTCCTTATTAGAAGAGGAGAGGACGCACAATGACACACAGTGGGAAGATGGCCCTGCAGAGATGGGGACTGGAGTTATGCTACCACAGCTAAGGAATGCCAAGGATTGATGGCAACCACCAGAACCTGGAAGAGGCAAAGAAGGATTCTTCCCTAGAGCCTTTGAGAAGAAGAGCCCTAAAACACCTTGATTTTGGACTTCTAGCCTCCAGAACTGTGAGAAAATTAATTTCTATTGTTTTAACCCACCTGCCTTTGGTACTTTGTTACGACAGCCTTGGAAACTAATACAATGTGTCTAGCCAAAAATATGGACATAAGCCCTTTCTTGCATGTGTGACTCAAAAACTATTTTATATTTATAGATATTAAGTATAGCTATCTGTACAGCCATGGAAAAATTC